TGTGGTATAGTTTTTCATGCCTGAATTAGCAGGCTCTTCATCTGAAAACTTTGGCTCAGGAAGTTATTGTTCCCTAGGAGGGCAAGGCAGCTACCCTGCCTGAGTTTCTCTCTGAGCTTTTAACTCAAGGGAAGACTTGCTTCAGCTGGGGAGAGATATGGCCTATGAGTTAATAATCTTCTTTATCAGTTAACTGCTGCAGCTAGATTAGGCGGGTCCATGGTGCCCAGGGCTAAAGGCAGCCTAAACTCTGGGAGGGCAGAGGAAATGGGATCACCTGTGATATTGGGGTCTCTGGAGCAGTTTCTGTGAATGGCAGTGGGTCATCCTTCAGACTGCAGGGCAGGGCCAGGTCCTCCAGGCAGTGGGGTGGCAGGTGGGAGCATCCCAGCAGTGGGCCTGTGGGGACAGATCCTCTAGGTGATGGGGCTGGGTGTGTCCAGGCAGTGAGATCAGGTCCTCCAGGCAGTGGGTTAAGGGGCCAGGTGGTGGAGCTGGAACCACCAGATGGAGGGTCTGAGGCCTCCAGGCAGAGAGGTTGGGGTCTTCTAGGCAGTGGGGCCCCATCTAGTGCTCCAGGTAGGAGAGCCGTCCAGGCCACACTGAGAACTTTTAAATACAGGTACCTTAATTAATCGACTGCAACAGATCCATGCTGCTTGAGAATGTATGTGGCAGCTATATAGTATTTTTTTTTTTTAAAACATTATTTTTGTCTTTCACATTGTATTTCATATGATCATTACAATATGTTATGTCTTATAAAATTAATCAACAGTCATATTTTTTATTAATTTTAATCGAAGTTTACAGAGACTTAGGGTTTCCAGTCATTCATTGTTGCACTTTTCTCCTTCCTCCTCCCCTACCTCCCTCCCCACGTGCCCCCTGTTTCTTCTTGTGGGCAGAGCCAAAGGAAGACTAGCAAAGCAGAATATAAGTCCAGAAAGCCTAGAGCTCTCTCAGGCCACTAGTCCCAAGGAACCCCAAAACCTTTGCTTTTATTAGCATTCAGAAACAAAGGAATAGTTCACAGAGAAATGGAAACATTAAGGATTACCTCACAGGACCCGAATGGGCTGGGTATAGAGTTAGATAAAACACATACATTCAGCAAGACTTCTTTGTATTCATAAACTGTGCTTTCTTACGTTTGCAACAACCTTATCAAGAGCAGGAACATTTATTTCCACTCTCACAAGAGTTAGTGTCTAAAGATGTATGGGAACTGCTTGTAATCTTCCTTGTCAGAGGGCCTCATGAGAGCTGCTTGCAATCTTCCTTCTGAAGACCCCTCTGTGTGCAAGGCCAACAGCCACATCCGAAGGATACAGCCTTACATTCTTTGCCCCGTACACCCCCAATTCACTCTTCTCCTTGAAAAGAAAAAGAAAAACTCTTTCATTGTTATGCAATCCCCCCGTTCCCCCAAGTCCACTCCACTATGCAGCCTGTAATGACAAGAATACCCATACATATATCCCTTTTAAACAGTTCTCTCCCTCATCTGTTTCAATGCAATATACATCATTCCTTCCCTCCTGTTGTTTTCCCTCAACCCTTTGGTATAACAGTGGTATTATGCAGTATTTTTCTTTTTGTGACTGAGATATTTCACTCAGCATAATGTCCTCCAGGGTCATCCATTTTGCATAATATTTCATGAGTTCCTTGTTTTTCACTGCTGCATAATAGTCCATTGGGTGAATATAACAGAGATTCTCCATCCATTCATTTGTTGATGGGCACTTGGGTTGTTTCCAGCTCTTTGCTGTTGAGAACAAAGCTGCAGTAAACATGGGTGTGCATATATCGGCTTGGGTGGCAGTTATGGTTTCTTGAGGGTAAATTCCTGGTAGTGGAATTCCTGACTCAAATGGTGTTTCTATTTGCAACTTTTTGAGAAAGCGCCATACAGCCTTTCATAGTAGTTGCACCATTTTGCACTCCCACCAGCAGTGAATAAGGGTTCCAGTTTCTCCACAGCCTTGCCAGCATTTGTTATTTGCTATTTTGTTAAAGTTTGCTATTCTTACTGGGGCGAGATGATATCTCATAGTTGTTTTGATAACATATTGTTTAAATTTTTTTTTTCTGTTTGAATGACTGCTGCTTTATTTCTATATGGGCTCCATATCTGCACAGTTCAGAGTTTTGGAATTTCTAGCCTTCTCAGTATTTTATTGTGATATGGTTGGCACACAGTGTTTAATACATAAATTGTACCATTTACTTTCATTTGATACCTCTTTGTATGCATAAAATTATCACCACAGTCAAGATAATGAACATCTCCATGGCTCCAAACGTTTCCTAGTTTTCTGTTATTATTTGCTTTCTGTCGTTATAGAATGTTGTTGTTGTGTACCGTTGAGTTGAAGCTGAACCATAGCTGACCTTCTGGCGGGTTTTCAAAGGAAGTTAATTGCACTAGAGGAGATTGCCCATCCTTCTCCCACAGAGCAGGTGGTGGATTTGAACCATGTGCCATTGGGATTGCAGTGGAGCTCTTTGCCACTAGGCCACTAGTGCTCCCTTATAGTTTATGTTTTATTGAGTTTTATATAATGAACTTTATATAGTCTTTTTATACCTTTTTTCACTTATCATAATGATTTTGAGATAATTTTATGTTACTTAATAGTTTAATGTTATTTAATAGACAATTTTTAATAGAATAATCAATTTATACTTAATAGTAAATTATATTGCTTAATAGTATTTTACAGTTTGCTTATCCTCTAGAAAGCTAATTGATTTGTTTTCAACTTTTGGCTATTTAATTAAAACAGCTGTGAACATTTGCATATAAGTTTGTGTGGACAGTTTTATTTTCTCCCTAGTAAATACTTAAGAGTGGAATGGCTGGATGGTACAGTATTTTCATGTTTAACTTTTGTAGAAACTACCAAACTTTTTTCCAAGTGGTTTTTCTATTTTTAATTACCACTAGCAGTTTATGAGTACTCCACAGTCTTTATATTCTCCTAATAGTTGTTTTTATCTTTTTTTGATTGTAGTCACTGTGTTGGGTATGATCTCAGGGTATTGCTAACCTAAAAGTTGCTGGTTCAAACTTACCTGTGGCACTGTGGAAAAAAGCCAAAAATCCCCCCTATGGTGCAGACCTATTCTGTAATACATAGGGTTGCTGTGAGTTAGTTTGCATTATTCTTTTAGAAAACATATTTCCTTTTATAATATGGCTGTCTGCAGGAGACAATTAATCAGAGAATTTAAAAAAATTGTAACCAAATTTAATCACTGTTTCAGATTAGGCTCAGCTTGGTCTATTGGAGAATCAAGTACAATGACTATATGTGTGTATTTTATTTATATGTATTTAAAAAGCTCTGGTCCCTAGTAGTAAGAAGCTACACTGCACATGATTCTTTTTTTTTTTTTTTTTTCATGTACCGTCAAATCAGATCTGACTGGTACAGGAGGAAACTGTCCCTCCTTCTCCGGCAGAGCATCTGGTGGATTCAAACCGTGTACCTTTGTGATTGCAGTACAGCTTCTTGCCACTAGGCCACCAGAGCTCCCCCAAGCACTTGATTCTAATCCACCAGCTGCTCCATGGGTAAAGGATGGTCAATCTCATCTCATGTGATTTACTGCCTCTGAAAACCTGCTGGAGGGTCATCTATGGGTCAGTTTCGATTTAACAGCACAAAACAGTAATAACTAACTCTCTCTGTGTGTGTGTGTATGTGTATGGGGTGGATGGATAGAGAGATGAGGGCCTTTTTTTATCTCAAGGAATGTCCTGTGTGGTTTTGGATGCTGGCAAGTCCTGTATCAAATGGAGACTTACGACTTAGGAGCTTGCAGTGGCTGATGAACCCACAGAGAGCAGGTCAGATGACAGGATGGTGGCTCATGGTGAATCCCAAAATGTGCAGTTCATATGACAGGATTCAGGCTTACAGGGCTGCAGACACCAGTGAATCCCAAAATTGGTAGGTCAGTCACCAGGACCCAGCTAGAGGAAGGGAAAATGATCTAGGCTGTGAGCTAGGGTCGATTGCCGCAACCTGATGGCTTACTCACAGCTGGTCTTTGCTTGTGGATGCAGATGCTTAAAGTTTCCAGGTTCAATGGAGGATCCTTCAGCAAAAGGGACATGTTTGTTCCTTCAGAGTACTCATTTCATAGGGATGGGCAAATCAGAAATTGGCTATCTGAAGGGGATATTAAGCACAAGGCATGAAGTGGCTTGCTTACACACTTTTGTGAAAGTAATTAGTAAGATGAAGGTATGAGGGAAACCCCCCCCATAAAATGAATGAACAAAATTTAATGTAAATGAAAGACTGTATAAAACACAATGTCTATAAACATTAATAGTAAGAAAAAAAATTGGTAGGTCATATGATAGACTGCTAGCCCAAATTCCAGGAACCAGAAATCAGATATAAGATCAACAGCAAGGCAGAGCACTGCTAGAGCCTTTGCATGTATGCGTGTGTGTGTGTGTGTGTGTGTGTGTGTGTGTGTGTGATGTGTATAACTGGGCTGCAAATCCATATGCATGTGGTCTGAATCCCCCAGTTGCTCTATGGGAAAAAGATGGGCAGATTTCTCTTGTTTGATTGGCTGCCTCTGCAAACCGCCAGTTGGAGGGTTAACTTGATAGTACACAACAACAACAATAAAAACAAGCAACCAGAAGTATATAAGTGTAACCATATGTATGTATAACCAAAGTGACATCTCCAAAGAAACTTCCCTTACCTCAGAGTAATGGTGTGACTTGAGTAAGAATTAGACATGAGTAAAGAAGCGACTTGATGGTCTCATGTAAGATTGTGACTCAGGGTATACCACACACTAACTCTGTTTTGACATATAGAGGTTAGGTTTTCAATACATAAATGTAGGATAATTACATCAGATCACAAGGTGGAGGATAGTCACACAATACTAGGAATCATGGTCTAACCAAGTGGACATAAAACATTAACCATCACAATTGCTGTTTGTTCTCTCCTAATTAGTGAATGAAAGCAACAAGCCTGAGTTTATAGAGCTTAAGAAGTGGCTGAAAGATAGGAAGTTTGAAGATACACATTTAATACCTGCTCGTTTTCCAGGTAAAGGCTAGTATTTGACTCTATTGCCTTTCTCAAATGAGAGTTGTGTGGGCACAGATAATGAAAAAGTGTGGGTTTCTGTAGATCCTGGCGTGCTGCCTGAGGGTGGGAGGATGCAGTTCCAAGACTTCCTGGGACCTGGAGTGGGGTTTACTGGTAATCCAACCAAAGGGCTCTTGAGTATTGTTGGGGAAATATCATAAAGATGACTCTGAGGTTGGGTGGGAGGCCCTGCTTGTAGTAAAGAGTCCCAGTGTGAAAGTTCTTGTAAGGGGCCCAGCCGGGATCTGCATCTGGTCCACAGTGATCTAAAGGCCACCTTTTTGTTGTTAGCTGCCATGGAGGTGGCTCCTCACTGCTGGTAATCCCATGTCCAACAGAAAGAAGCACAGCCTTGGTCTGTGCCATCTTCAAGATATGTTGTTGATGGAATCTTTTCGTCCATAGGGTATTCACCGAGTAATTTTTGGAAATAGATCACCAAACTTTCATTCTTGGTCTGGAAGCTTGGTTAAAACTTGTTCAGTATCATGGTGACATAGAAGCCTCCACTGACAAACGGTGGTGGCTACCAATGAGGTAATTCCGAGTACAGATAAGATTTGGCCCAGGGCTGCTGCATGAAGGTGAGAATTCTACAATGAGCCATTGCTCTCCTTACAAAGCCACAAGGGGGCCAGGACATTCCCAAGTAGCTTTCAGATGTCCTATTTTCTCCTGGGGGTTTAAGATTGGAAGGAACTACTTTAGCTTCTTGTAGTTTTGAAGTTCACTTGTTCTTGTTGTTGTGATTTGCCATTGAGTCGCTTGCAACTCTTAGCGACCCTATGTACAGCAGCCCTAAACCCTGCTCTATCCTGTGCCAATCGCACTGCCTCTGAGACTCCCCTCCTTATTACCCCAGTCACTGAATCAATCCACCTCATACAGAGCCTTCCCCTCCTGCGCTGTCCCTCCACCCTCCCAAGCATGATGTCCCTCTCCAAGGACCTGTTGTCCCTCCTTACAACATATCCAAAGTATGTCAGATGAAGCCCCAGAATCCTTGCCTCCAAGGAGCAGCCTGGTTTAACCCTCTCCAGGATGAATCTGTTTGTTTTCTTGGCAGTCCACGGTATATTCAATACTCTTCTCCAGCACCATAGCTCAAAGGCATCCATTCTCCTTCTGTCCTCCCTAGTCATTGTCCAACTCTCTGATGCATAACAAGTGATTGCAAAGACCATAGCCTGTATCAGATGCACCTTAGTCTCCAGAGTGACACCACTGCTCTTCAGTACCCTGGAGAGATTCCTAACCACAGACTTTCCCATTGCAATACGTTTTTTGATTTCCTGGCTGCTGATGCCTAGAGTGTTGACCAGGGAGCCAAGCAAACTAAAGTTGTTAACAATCTCAATCTCTTCCATTTTTAAAAAATTTTATGCTAACTGGTCACATTATGACAACTGGCTTTACTCTTTTTCTTTCCTTTCTTTTATAGATACAGGAAGAGGGCTGATGAGCAAAACATCCCTGCAGGTCAGAACTTCTTTTTCTTTGATACTCATTTTTTACTTGGTGCCTTTGTTTTTGTAGTTCATAGTGATTTTTAAACATTTTGATGTATTGACATTTCTTACTTATCTATTTGTTATTGCTATGCGCTATTCAGCCAGAACTGACTAATAGCTCTTTCTCCAGGAGGCTTGGAGAAGCTGTGAATCAGATGGGAGGAGATTACCCATCTTGCACCTGTGGAGCACCTGGTGGATTCGACCTGTGGATGCCCACTTGACTGCCAGAGCTCCCTAGTGGATATGTTCAAATATAATTCTATCAGTTAGGATTAAGTTTTACAATATATAAGCTACGTACCCAAAATAATAAGGCTTAAAAAAAGAGTGGAATCTTATTTTGCTTTTGTTTGGCGGGAGTAGACACACTTGTGCTGGTGTCACCATCAGGGTCCCAGGCTCTTAGTAGCTCTGTCCATGTCCCTAGAGGGTGCTCACCCTCTCACGTCCAGGTACTTCAGAATCTATAGCTGACTGAGAAAGAGAGTGAAGAAGGACAGTCTTCCTCTCAAGAAGGAGACTGCTGCCCACATCCCACTGGCTGAAAATATGGCTTATGGCCACACTTGACCGCAGGGAGAGGCACATACTGTTCTTGTCACCTTCCCTGGCACTGGAGCTATGGTTGGTGAGGAAAAAGAGAGGAAGTGTATTGAGACAGAAAACTAGCAGCTTCTGCGACCAGAAAACTTGTGAATCAGGTTACAAATTTTTAAATGTGCTCAGGAAGCTGCTGGCCTCTGTGAGGCTGTACTCAGTGCGTGGTGCAGTAAAGTGAGTCCTGAGCTAGCTGTGGCCTCGGAGTGAGGTCTGCAGCTCTCTCACCCCAGGGCCTCCTGCATGGCTCCTTTCCACTCGTCTTCCGTTTCATCACCTGTCACATGACGAAGTAGATGACAGGCCAACTTCTTCCAAGGTTCCTTTTTGTTCTTTGTGCATGATTTAGAGAATATCTAGTGTAATAGCTATAAAATTCAAGTTCATGTCTCCATTTACTATTTATTTTTCAGCTTTGCATCTCTTATATTCATTAGCCTGAAATTTGTGGTGGCTGTTGAAGGGTTTCATGGCCCAAACCAATAGTTTTTATTGATAATTTCATATTTTAAACTTCTTTTTAAGCTGAAACTATTTTTCCATATAGTGAAAAGCAGTTTTATGAGTTGGGACAAAAGGATACAATATTGGACATTCCCATCAAGTGGCTTCTTCTATGATTTTAATAAGAAAGCCATGGGGTTTTGGGGCTGGAAGAAACTGCATTGATTCCCAATTGAATCTTGCTTCAGATGATAAATCAGAAATTAAATCCTAAAGATTCGCTATTGGAGTGACAGATTTTTAGCCAATCTCCAGATGTCAGTTTCAATGAAAGTAGCACTTCTTAAAGCCGTGTTCTTATTGTTTGCTTTGTTTCTGTTGTTTTTTAGTTTTCTTATTTTTTTTCCTTCTGTGTTCTCAGTGAGAGAAATGCAAAACTAAACTTTTGCAAATGGTAAAATTAGATTCTGTCTGTGCTGAGCAGACCACCCTTTCTTGAGCTGATTGGCTAGTTCCGTGTGATGTAGGAGTGGGCTCTTGCCCAGAATAGTCACTGGGCACCTGGATTTCATGGTTAGAATCATTTGTGGTGGTTTCTGTCTGTTTCCTATAGGGAGTTCTGTTTCCTGCCATAAAAATGAAGAGATGATGTGATTTAAACTTGTTTCCTGTTTGCCATTCCTTCCAGGAGTTCACTAGCCTCTGGTTCCTGTTGGGTTGTAGTACCTGACATTGAAACAACCTTGGGAGTAAGCCTGCTTGTGGCTGCTGTTGGTCTGTAGTTGAGTTATAGAGAAGTCTTGATAAATAATGGTGGAACCAGCGACTTTACAAAACTCGAAAGCATGGACATTCTAAACTTTGCTTTCTTTTTTTGTAAGGCTGGACAGCTGATTATTTCCTTGCCTGAGAGTTGCCTGCTCACCACGGACACGGTGATTAGAAGCTACCTAGGGGCATACATTACTAAGTAAGTGACCCCCCACGTGCACACGTGGTAACTGTCCTTGTCTTTTAAGGTTTTCATTGTCATCCAGTATGTCATCTGAGACACAGATCGTTAAGACTCAGCCCCTTTGTAGAACTAATAAATATCTCAGCTTATTTGAAAGGTTTATTCAGTTCCATGAAGTTGGTTCCCAATTTGCTATAAATGGAATTTTTAAGGTTTTCTTAAGGTGCTTGGGATGTAGGTTGGGTCCTGAACCATCACTTATTTGAAAATGAGGATAAAAGGAGATGAGATAACAGACATACACAAACACACACACACAAACATAAACATAAATCACAGACACAGGTTTTGACTCCTTGCCATCATAGCCACTCAGTCTCATTTACTTTGGAGTTGAAACTGACTCATAACTGACCAACTGTGGGTTTACAAAGGCTGTAAACATGGGATGATATTGCTCATCCTTCTCCTTGGTGGTGCTGGTACGTTTGAACCACTCACCTTTAGGTTGGTGGCACACTTCTTACCCCTACGCCACTAGAACTCTCTGTCATCATAATACATTTTGACAAGTGTTCCTTCTTTTTTACTCTTACTTGTTCTAGCTTGAATTCTTCAAGTGAAGAGCTGCCAACCTTTTGAGAGAAGACTTAGCATAGGGAAGAGGCCAAGGAGAAAGTTGAAAAGTATTTTCTGTCACATATTATAATGAGTAGGACATTATAAGGGCAGAGTGAGGGACATCCTCAACAGGAATTTCTCAGTTATGAGGTTTGAGAGATTATCTCGTTCATTTTTCAAAATCCCACCAATAGTTACTTCTTGGTTTTAAAATAATTAGTAGGATTTGAAATCAGGGAGCGAGATGCCTCCTACCTTATTTCTCTTTTTAAGGAGTGCTTTGCTTATTTCCATTCCAAATGAAACTGGAGATAACCTTTTTCATCTCGTTGAAGAATGGAGCTGGTATTTGTGTTGAGATTGCATTGAATGTGTAAATTACCTTTGGTAGTATTTTCATTTTCACAATATTGAGTCTTCCTATCCATGAGTAAGGGATGTTCTTCCACTTCTCCAGGTCTCTTTTTTGTTTATTGTAGTAATGTTTTGTAATTTTCTTTGAATAGATCCTTTGTGCTTCTGGTTAAATTTACTCCCAGGTGTTTAATCTTATGATATCAATTGTGAAGGGTATTGTTTTTCTAAGCTCCAGTTCTGTTTTCTCTTTGTTACTGTAGAGAAATCCTACTGCATTGCCGTGGTTGTCAAAACAGCTTGGTACTGGTGCAATGACAGACACATAGATCAATGGGATAGAATTGAGAATCCAGAAATCAGTCCATCTACCTATGGTCAACTGATTTTTGACAAGGAGATGAAATCAGTCAAGTGGGGAAACGACAGTTTTCCAATTTTGCCAACACCATTTGTTTAAAAAGGCTGTCGTTCAGATCCACACCTCACTCGATGCACAAAAACCAACTTAACGTGGATTAAAACCAAGGATTAAATCTAGGAGTAAAACCTAGGACTAAAACCAAGAACTATCAAGCTCATTAAAGAAAAGCTTGGAAGAACCCTAAAAGTCCTAATTCACAGCATAAGCAGTCTTCCAAGCATCCTAGAAAATCTATAACCAGGATAGTATAAAATAGATGAATGGGACCTACTAAGAATCAAATCCTTATGCACATCCAGAAACTTCTCCATCAGGGTAAAAAGGGAAGCCACAGATTGGGAAAAAATATTTGGTAATGAACCTGGAGAAAAGATGTAATACAGGTGTCCAGGACTTTCGTTCTTAGAGTCACTATGAGTCACCTATGACTCGACAGCACTCAACAACAACAACTGCAGCATAAAGAGAGAGCACAGAAAGTCATGCTCCCAAGCCAAAGTTGGGTGACTCTACTTTACGGCCTTCAGGTCTGCCTTTAATTGTTTTTGGTGAAACATTCTAGGTCGTATAACCCTGGTATGTCCACTTGCTATACAGAGATAACTTGTGGTTACTGTGAAGCTGAACACTGTGACACTGATGAGTCAAATACGAGAATGTTTACTCATGGTGGACAGTGTTTGGTGGAGCTCCCTGATTAAAACAAGCTTGGAAGAAGCAGGAGTGGCATCCATTTCCATAATAGCTTGCCTCTGGAAACCCTATGAACCTGGAGAAAGGACGTAAGTTATACAGATGCCCAGAACTTTCATTCATAGGGTCACTATGAGTCACCTACAACTTGACTGCACTTAACAACAACAACAATGACATGTCAGATAAGGGACTTATATCTAGAATTTATACTAAAGCACCACAACAAGGTGAAGGTAAATAACCCAGTTGAAAAATGGGCACAGAATATGAACACGTCACCAAAGAAGACATTCAAGTGGCCAACAAACACATGAAGAAATGTTCAAAATCTCTAGTTTTAAGAGAGATGCAAATCAAAACAATTCTGAGATGTCATCTCACCCCAGTAACAATAGCAAAATTTAACAGAACAGCAAGCAACAAATGCTGGCACGGTTGTAGAGTAACTGGAACCCTTATTTACTGTTGGTGGGAGTGTAAAATGGTGCAACATCTTTGGAAGCTGTCTGGTGCTTTCTCAAAATGTTGCAAATACCATTTGACCCAGCAATTCCACTTCTGGGAATTTACCCTAAAGAAACCATAACCGCCACCCAAGTAGATATATGCATACCCATGTTTATTGCGGCTTTGTTCACAGTAGCAAAGAGCTGGAAACAACCCAAGTGCCTATCAACAAATGAATGGATAGAGAAACTCTGGTATATTCGCACAATGGAATACTATGCAACACTGAAAAATAAGGTACTCATGAAATATAGTGGATGACCCTAGAGGACATTATGCTCAGTGAAATATCTCAGTCATAAAATGACAAATATTGCATAGGGCCACTATCGTAAAACAGGACTGAAATTGGGGTTGAGGGAAGATAGAGAAAAAGGGGAGGAATGATGTATATGGCACTGCAATAGATGAGGGAGAGACTGTTTAAAAGGGATATATGATTAGGTATTATTGTCATGACAGGAGTCCAGAATGAAGGCTGCACAATGCAATGGACTTGGAGGGGAGGGATTACATAGCAATGAAAGAGTTTTTCTTTCACTTATCAAGGAGAAAGGTGGATTGGGGGAGAGGGGGTAGGCAGGGAGAAAAGTACAACAATGAATGACTGGAAACCCTAAGTCTCTGTAAACTTTCATTAAATGGAAACCCTAAGTCTCTGTAAACTTTGATTAAAATTGATAAAAATAAAATCCTGGTGTGCTTGTTTTAGAGGGAAGATGTGTTTTTGTAGGCTTGAATAAAGGTAATAATGCTTTCAAGTTTAACATTTTCTATATTCTGAAATTTTTAATAGAATTTTTGGCATTGTATACATTCAAACTTTGAAGTGTTTCCTAAATGCTTTTGTACAACATAATATATTTTTATTGGTAATTGTGGAAGTAGATAAAAGTACCATAATATATGATTTGCAGTCAAGCAAACCAAGCTTAGAAAGAAAAGATTTAGAAGTATAACAAATCTATAAGGAATATATTTAGTATATTTCTTTTTGGTCTGGGTTAGTGGCATCAAGTTGGACTTTGATGATAGGAATACTTTATTCTGAACTGTTTAGTACAGTAGCCTCTAGTCATATATCACTGTTGAGTACTTGACATATACCTTTATGACTAAAGAATTTTAAAGATTTCATTTTTACGAGTTAAAATTAACATAGCTTCCTGTTGCTTATTGCTAGATCCCTGGGTTGCACACATAAGATTTTGTGCTCAACTACTTACCTAAAAGTGGATGGCTTGGAATGCAGCTGGTGGTGGCGTGGAAGAAAGGCCTGGCAGTCTGTTTCTGTAATGATCACAGCCTTGAAAACCCAGTGGAGCCATTCTACTCTGACATGTGGAGTTGTTGGCAGCAAAGGGCTTCGTTTTTGTTTTGTGTTAGCTACTGGCTCCTTTATTGTACAATGTCAGTCTCGAGTCTTTCTTCCAGTTTTTAGGTTCTTATGTAAGTGATACAAGTGGACTTGGCAGCAAGTCTTCAAACTGGAAAACTAAGGTAGAAGCAAAGAGGTTTTGCAGAGAGAGAAATCTCTTGTAAACCTACCTGGAATTTGATCTCATGGTTCAGTTGCCACATACATAAGATTTGCTCCAATTACTTGCAGTTCTTACATACTCTAGAGTTAGACCCGACCCATAGCTGGCCCTTCAGTGGGTTTTTAGAGGCTGTAAGTTGTACAGGAGATGATTGCCCATCTTTCTCCTGCAGAGCAGCTGGTGAATTTGAATCATGTGTGTTTAACTTGGCAGCGCAACTCCTTACCCCTGGCCATCAGAGCTCCTTTAAATGAGGAAATAATTTTAAGTCCTTTATGTAAAACTTCAAGTAACTGACAATTTGAGCCTAATCTCTCAGGTTGCAAAACAATCCACTGTAATATTTGTAAAACTGGTTTATTCCATATATTCAATCTGCTAAATTATGAAACTGGTTTATTCCATAAATTGAACCTGTCGAACCTTAACTTGAACCTGTTTAATTTTTCCAGGTGGAAGCCCCTTCCTTCTCCCCTCCTGGCTCTGTGCACTTTCCTAGTCTCAGAAAAGCATGCTGGGGACCGGTCCCCCTGGAAGCCTTACCTGGACACTCTCCCCAAGGCCTATACTTGCCCTGTTTGCTTGGAATCGAGAGTGGTCAATCTTCTTCCCAGACCTTTAAGAGCAAAGGCTCAAGAGCAAAGGACTCGTGTTCAGGAGTTTTTCACCTCTTCCAGAGACTTTTTCTCCTCCTTGCAGCCGCTCTTCTCGCAGGCAGTTGAAAGCATCTTCACCTACAGCGCCCTCCTGTGGGCGTGGTGCACTGTTAACACCAGGGCCGTGTACCTGAGTCACGGGCAGCGCAGCTGCTTCTCCTCAGAGCCAGACACGTGTGCGCTTGCCCCGTACCTAGATCTGCTGAACCATAGTCCAGACGTACAGGTGAGTAATCTGACAACCAGGTGCAGATAGCTTTACCTGGTGGTTAAAACAACGTGCTGTGCTGTGTGTTTGCTTGTCTTCTTGGCCCATGCTCCCAGCAGCCTTTTTCTGTGGCTCTGGTCCTCTGCTCTTCTCTCCGGCTCTTTGCTGTATTCCTCACCTGCTTTTCCCAGTATCCTCCTTGGAGGCAGTCTCCATTTGCTTTCTCCTTCCAGAACTGGGCCTGGAACCTCTCTTGCTTTCTGGTCTCCTTCCCTTTTATCCTCAGAGATATTGCTGTCCGAGCTTCACACTGATGGATTTCCTCCTACCCCCACTGGGTTCTGCAATCTTTCAGGATGAGGACTAGCTCCTCTTAGAGGTGCCAGTGCCCAGCACGCACGCCCAGCACATGATCCAGGTGTGAGACAGGATATCCCTGTGGGGACAGCTCACCTGGTGGACTGGATAAAAGCTGCTGGGAGGTTTGTGTACCCTCAGGAGGGAGAGTGTCTCATCGAAATGCCTTGTGGAATACCCCAGAGGAAGCAGTAGAGCCTGCATGCTCTGATGGATTGGTTTTATGATGATTGGTCTCTTTGTCTGTTTGCTATGCCCCTTATTCATGTCATGGTAGATACTGTGATTAAGGGGTCCTCTTTTCCATGGGACGCCCTTGCTACTACAAAATTGAGCAACAGTCTGGGAAGCCTCATCGTATTTTTTGTTCTAACTTCACTCTTATGAGTCTATAGGGAAAAAAAGGATGTTTTGCAAGATACAATGGGATGAAAAAAGAGGAAGAGTCAAGGAACTTAGTTCAGTATAAATCTTTAGATTTTGAGGAGATAGGAACACTTTCCTATGGAGCTGATTCCAGTATAACCTGTAGGAGAGAGTAGAACAACCCTATAGGGTTTCCAAGACTTTCTATCTTTTCAGAAGCAGACTGCCATATATTTCCACCAAGGAGCACCTAGTGGGTTTGAACCACTAAACTTTTGATTAACATCCAAATGCTTACCCGTTGTACTACCAGCATATCTTTTAACTATCAATAGTCTTAACCCCCAAACCGATTCAATTGGATTGTAATTGTGCTGCTCAAAAGCTTGAGCACAGACTTGACTTTTCCCCCACGTGGTTAAATTAATGAATAAACATTGGGAAGCTGTGTCTGACTTAAAGGAATATGACAATTCAGTTTTTCAGTCTTACAATATGACAATATAATTCAGTTTTTCATTTTTACATATGAAAGACATATTAATTTATTTTTCTTTTCAGGTAAAAGCAGCATATAATGAGGAGACTCACTGCTATGAAATTAGAACAGCTTCCAGTTGTAGAAAATATGAAGAGGTATTCATCTGCTATGGCCCCCATGATAACCACCGCCTGCTCTTGGAATATGGATTTGTTTCCACCCAGAATCCTCATGCGTGTGTTTATGTCTCAAAAGGTTGGAATCAACTTTGAATTTTATCACTAAAATGACATACTTTCCCCCCCAGTCTAAGTTGTGGTTATTTGCAAGTTCTAATAGAAATGGTGAAACTGTAAAGCATATATAACCCGTTGCTGGGCAGCCACCTCCCGCTGAAGGGGAGCCATTCTGGTGTATGGGCGCAGGGCTGTGCTCCGTAGTGTAGGTAGTTCACAAGGAAATGCCAGGCCTCTCCTTGAGGAACCTCTGGCTTGACTTGAACCTCCACCTTTTTGGTTGCTGCTGAGTGTTGACCTGGTTTCATCATGCAAGGAATCCTATAGCACACAAAACCCACTGTTGTTGACTCTCCCTCAGGATACTCTCCACCAGGTTTTTGAAGCTCTAAGCAATGGTTTTCACTCTGGAGACTAAGGTGCATCTGATATAGGCTATGGTCTTTGCAATCACTTGTTATGCATCAGTTAGTGGGACAATGACTAAGGAGGATAGAAGGAGAATTGATGCCTTTGAGCTGTGGTGCTGGAGAAGAGTATTGAGGGTACCATGGACTGCTAAGAAAACAAACATTCATCCTGGAGAGGGTTAAGTCAGGCTGCTCCTTGGAGGCAAGGATTCTGGGGCTTCATCTGACATACTTTGGACATGTTGTAAGGAAGGACCAGTCCTTGGAGATGGACATCATGCTTGGGAGGGTGGAGGGACGGTGCAAGAGGGGAAGGCCCTCTATGAGGTGTATTGATTCAGTGACTAGGGTAATTGGAATGGGTGTGTCAGAGGCAGTGCGATTGGCACAGGATAGAGCAGGGTTTAGGGCTGTTGTACATAGGGTCGCTATGAGTCGCAAACGACTCGACGGCACATAACAACAACAAGTCTTTATGGATACACTGCAACCTTGAAGGCAGGCGGTTTGAATGCATCAGCTGCTCTGTGAGAGAAGGATGGGCAGTCTCTTCCCATGCGAATAACTGTCTCTGAGAACCTGCTAGAGGGTCAGCTATGAGTCGATTCCGACTCAATGGTGCACAACACAAAAACAAGAAGTCTTGCGGGGGGGATTGTGTATCAATGAGGGAGTTTTTCTTTTGCTTTTCAAGGAGAGGAGCAACGGGGCGGGGAGGGGTTTGGGCGGGGAGAAGGGTGCAACAATGAATGAATGGAATTCCAAAATCTCTGTAGATGTTCATTGAAATGAAAAATAAACAAACTAAATTAATTTAAAAAAAAAGAAAAAGAAAAACCAACCAAACAAACAAAAAACCAAAAAAAAACCACCAAGAAGTCTTTATGGAAGGGTCATTTTTCTCTCTTGGAGTGATGAGTGGATTTGAATTGCCAGCCTTTCAGTTTAGGAATCCTACGTGTTAGTGCTATGTCACTAAGTCACTTTCCTAAAGCACGCGCGCACATCATTATTTAAGTAAATCTGGCCGTATTCTTACTGACTATAATTTTAATATTGAAGTATAAAATGGCAACGCTAAGATTGATTTTGAGTGTAAGAAAGAAAATAGTTTTCTGACATTTGATTAGAAGATAGAAGGGAAGTGAGGTGATAGAAGGGAAATAAGATAAATATTAACAGAAGGAAAGAAATGGAAAATTTTGTACCAAGACATTGCTATCGTCACTGAAGAGAGAGTAGGATTTTTAATCTTATGAGAATGTATTGCTGTCTCTTTCTTCCTTGGAGCCAGGGTGGGTTCAAACCACTAACATTTTGGTAAGCAGCCAAGCACTTAACGGCTTGTGCCACCTGGAATCACTGTTACTAAAGATAGTAGGATTAGAGATTAGAAATGAAAATAATTATTGTTTAATAAAAGTATACAAATAGGTTACATGTCACACTGCTGTTGTTGACCAACTGTAGGTTGGCAGTTCAAATCCAGCATCCACTCCTTGGCAGAAAGGTTTGACAGTCTGCTGTGGTAAAGGTTTACAGCCTTGGTAATCTCGTGGGACAGTTCTTTTGTGCTTTGTAGGCTTGGAATTGACTTGATGGCAACAGGTTTGGGTTTTTCCTTTTTTGGGAGCAAAGCTGTAAGTATTCAGCTGCTGATTGATAAGGTGATTTGCATGAGCTGAGTTTGTAGATGTTTTAGCCTTCTACCTTGGGATTTTTCTAGCTTTCTAGGAGTGAAATGGTAGCCTACTGGTGAGAAGCTGTGCCACAATCCCAAAGGCATGTGGTTCAAATCCACCAGCTGCCAGTGGCTTTGGGGGGAGAAGAAAGAACAATCTCCCCCTGTGCGTTTACTGCCTCTGAAAACTTGCTGGAGGGTCAGCTGCCGGTCAGTTTTAATTTGATGTCACACAACAACAACAATTAGAGTGAAATAATGATTTCATTGAGATGGATATAATGAACAGTCTCTTGAATGTGTAATTCAGTCAAACTCTGTATATACATCTTAATTGCTAGTGGGAAGAAAAGTTAATTGAGAGAGGAAGGCCACACTGCTTTCTCAATTAGACTCTAAATCTTAACCTGACTTTTTTTTTTTTAATGTAGATATACTTGTTAAATATCTCCCATCAACAGATAAGCAGATGAACAAAAAGATTTCACTTCTAAAGGACCATGGCTTTATAGAGTAAGTATTATTTTTCTCTTGAACTTATTCAAGAATGAGGGTTAGGGTTCAACAGATGTGCCACAGCTCCTGACTTCTGTCATTGATCTTTGAACAGCATGAGTTTGAATGGTGAGCTCAAGTGTTTTGAGTATCAGCTTAAAATGCCAGGTGACCCTAACCATTTCCTGGGGAGATAAATTGCTCATGAGTAGAGAGTTATTGTCGCATGTGTTTTAAGTGGATACATGTAACATTTGGGCTCCTGGCAATGTCTACAGGAAAAAAAACATAAGTGGTCCTGTGCAGCCTGAACTCATGCTCTTCAAGTGTGCTACTAATGCTATCTACTCGGAACTAACCCACAGGCGGGTTTTCGGAGGCTCCATTGCATAAGAAAACATTGCTCGTCTTTCTTCCTTGGAGCAGCTGGTAGACCCGAGCCACCAGACAGGTGCTCGCTGCGTTTGAGTTGGCAGCACTGTTGCCTACTGACCACGCCGCCAGAGCTTCTTATACATTGTACTCTGATTTTGACTGTGAAGGAGTTGAGCGTCCTTTATCCCTCGTTGTTCAAGGGTCACCTGTATTTGTTGAGCATCTGGTACGTATTGTAAAAATGGGCTTAATGTATGTAGCTACACAGGCATATAGGGCACTTCAGGAAACTTGGTTTGAGATATATACACACGTACAATGCTAAGTCATATCAAAAAAGGAACTTCATTAAGTCTTGTTTAGTAGCTAATTGGTTACTGATTGGTAATTTAAGATTTGGGCTAGCTCTACTGGAGAAGGATGGGCAGTTTCCTTCTGTGCCATTTGGATCTTACTTGAGGGTACACAACAAGAAAAAGAAAAACATTTGCAATGAATAAATCATTGATTGAACAACAACAAAAAGCTTTGGGTTAGTACAGATGAGGCTGCCCTTAGGGTACAAAACCAGTCACTAGAAAGCTAAGCCTTGATTCCAGCACTTGACAGCTAGTTATACCCTTTCTTTCTCCAAAAGGTTTAAGATTTTCTCTTTCAAATGTTTTCTCTGAACAAAATTAAACTTTAAATAATCCAGTGATAGTTTGAAGACAGGCTAGGTGTAGTAACTGCCATTTATTTAATCAAGAGCATTCATCTGACTGTGAACTATGGTATGTTCCTTTTTGATGTGACCTCTTATCCAATTTTAGTCTCTTATTAAACAAAATTAATTATAGTATTTTGCTTTTTCTTCAAACACAGAATTTTATGATACCAGACTATATTATTAATGCTTTTAGACGTATTGTTCTCTTTGACCAAATATAAGTTACAGTATGTGGCTTTTCAGCCATTTGTCATGGTGTCAAACAACAAAATAAAGGGTTTGTAATTTTTTGTTTGTCTATTTTAGGAATTTGACATTTGGATGGGATGGGCCATCTTGGCGATTACTCACGGCTCTCAAGTTGTTATGTCTGGAAGCAAGAGAATTGTAAGTTCCATAATGTGCTGGGCATACACAGTAGTTATAATCTGGACATAACTTGACATTCAAGTGCCCAACCTGAGAGAAAAAAAAAAAAAGAATGTCCACATACACCAGCGTTGCTTATTCTTTATGTCACTTGCCCAGGTAGGGAATACTTTTGTCTTAAGTGTTAACCAATTTTAAAATTCGAGTTTTAGAATCCAATTCAAAGTTCATGGTTCTATGGATTTAGTTTCTAATGAGACATTTTGTCCTGGTCACTTGAAGCTCTTTGCTCAGGGTGAACTTTGTAGACATCTGCCCTTTGGAGCAAAGCCCTCATGCTAGACTAGATTGAGTTTCCCCAGGAGCAAACAGAACTACCGTGAACCCTGTGTGGTTCTGCACGGGGCAGACCCAGAACCTCTGATGAAGGAGAGCCTGAGGTTTTCATGAGAGGTGGGCCGTCGTTGTGCACAGGGGTCCTTGTCAGGCTCCGAGTGTTCTTGGGAAGCTCTGTTGAATGCATCTGTCAGTCCGGCCTGACTGAGCCACATGGCGGCACAGATACTGTGACCTGCCCTATGCATGTAGCTTCTTCCCCGGGGTTAGCTTCCTTCTCACTGCTGCCACCAGGTAGCAAATGCTCTGGTGAGACAAACAGCCTCGAGGGAGGACTTTCTGATGGTAAGAACATCGCTGGTGGCTGTGAGCATTATGTGAGAGAATGCTTCCAGATGGCACTTAGCACAGTGCCTCGAGGTGGTTTGGGTGCACACTAACTCCTGCTGTCTTTGTTGTTGTTTGTGCCATTGGTATTTTCTTCAGGGCTCAGGGAGTGAAAGTTCTCCCTGTCTCAGCACCAGAAGAGTTGTGATTCTTCTCAGCAGATAGTATGGTTTTGTTGCAGATGCAGTGACTTCTGTAACTGATTGTTTGTTTCTTTTTATTGCTTCTACCTAACTCAGGCAAATGTGTGGTGTGTCTGGATATTCAGGCTCTTCAGGCATGAGCTTGGTCGGTGGTCTCTTTGCTGTGTGTGCTGTCTCTTTCTTCCTCTCTTTTCTCCTATGTCTTCATCTATCTTTTGTTTTATCTGGTGTGTATCCTTATATATAAACGTTTTAAAATTCTTGGTGGAACAAGGGACAAGTCCTTGTTGAAGCACTTTAACCTGAAATAAAACCACTGCATGTTTCTGAGTGGTCATCTTTAGGCCTCTTCTTTTGAGTCTGTCTTCCCTGTCCAGGGTGGGGTGGCAGAAAAAGCGAGACGTTGGGATTCTGTCTGAATACTGTGTCTGTCTCCTGCTGACTCTGCCACTTAGAATTCTCTGACTTTCTTGGTTCTAAGTTTGTGTGTCTGACAATGATGGATAATAATACATTCTCTGCAAGGTAATTATTAAGATAGATAATGGGTGTAGGTGAAAGCACATAGTACTTTTCTTCTTTTTTTTTTTTTTCTGAGAACTCATCTACTCCAGAAAGCTTCCAATCTCTCTAAAGCTGAAGATGTTTAAGATTTTATTCCCTTGTGTGTGCTACCAGCATTCTCTATCTCCAGCTGGTTCTTGTGTGTGTCAGCTCTTCTCATTGCGGCTGCAGTCATTTTACCTAGCATCTTCTACACCAGATTCCCCTTCCTCATTCACTGTATCCACAGTTGTTCCTCCCTTCTCTTCCTGCCTGGATCATGCTTCTTCCTCGTGTGCAGATTTGATCTTGACCCTCTCTTCCTCTTCTAAACACACCTCACCTCTTCTGTCTGCAGTAAAATTGGTCCTCCCCTGCAAGGGCATGGTGGTTAAGTGGTTAGCTACTGACAGAAAGGTTGTGAAGGTCTGCTTCCAAGAAGATTAATACCAAGAAAACTATGAGGCAATACTCTATCATGTGAATGCTGTGAATTCCATTCTGTTGATTTCTCCGTAGAAATGATGGCACCTGACAGCAACCAATCTGACCCTGAATTTAATTTTCTAAAAAAATGTTTGTGGTATAATATTAGAATTACCTTCATAGAGAAAAGGACTTGACTTATCCTTCCATACATAAAATATTTCATAAAATGTGTTCTGTTGAGTGTGTCATTTTTAGGAAAGATTTTCTCTTGAGGGGAAAGCTTTGTGTTCTCACTTGTGTCCTTTGGCCTCTTATTCTCCTTGAACTTGCCTTCCTGCTCTGTCTTTGCTTTATGTTTGTGGGTAATGGATGCAACTTCACTTACTAATGGGCTAGATAAAGGATTCAAAATGAAAACCAAATTCTTTGCTATTGAGTCACTTCTGACTCATAATGAGCATTGGATTTCTGAGACTGTAAATCTTAATGAGAGGTGTCCTGGTGGGTTTGAACTGCCAGAGGCACGTGACCGGTTCACTGTAGTAACACAGCATGGTGCAAATGACACCACTAGAGCCCCGTGGACACAGCAGTATGAGGAAAATGAAATTCACTCTGCCTGCAAAGAGCAGCCTTTCCCTTTGTTTATTATTCAGGGTGACTTCTCCTGATCCTTCCTTCCTTTTCACTTCTTCTGTCCTTCACCTGTTGCATGTGACATGGACATTTTAGGCACCATGTCTAGGAATGAGCATTGTGTGCTGTGTTGAAGTGTAAAACTCTTTATTTTTTGAGACCCTGACGTTATTTTCTTATTGAACATTTTGCTTCTAGTACATGTTGGAAAAAAGTACTTCTTGGTGAAGTAATTTCAGATACAAATGAGAAGACAAGTTTAGACATAACCTGGAAAATATGCTCTTATTTTATAGAGGAATCTAATGCTATGCTTCAAAAGGTATGTTACTAGAATATTATGTCATTTTCTTAAAGAAGAGTTTTAAGAAGTTACTTGTTTTTCACACATGTTAGGAAGGGACAGCACACTTTATGTCAGGGCACTGTTTAGTTTCCTACGTAAATGTATGCTGATGTAATCTGTTTCTAATTGTTGAAGTTATACCCAAATCTTTTAGTAGGTAAGAATTATAGTGTCACTTTTTGATAGTATATTTTCAAGCATGATTTCCCATTTATATTTTTATTTAGTAAATGCTTTATTTGAGAAAAGCTTATTTACATAAATGAAAAAAAAAGAATTTAAAATAATTTAAAAATCAATTTTTAGGTTTCTCGCATGAAGGATGAAGAAGTGGATTTGATCAGCCAACTAACTTTAGTAGAAACTTTGTGGACAGAAGAGCTAAAGATTCTACAGGCTTCTGCCGCTATTCTAAGCAGTTTGCAAACAGCGTTTACCTAACTTGGCCAAGGAACATAATTCACCTCCTATGGTGGGTGTGAAAGTAATATGTACATTTTTATCTGTTGTGTAATAAATTTATTTAATATGAAGTAATTTGCAGTTCACATCATTTCTAGTCAACAGATACATACTTAATCCTTTTCCTTTTTGAACAAGCACTGAACTTGTCTCTTTGAGCAGTGAGTTGGGTGCTTGTAGGACATTGCGGTGATGCCTGCAGGTTCTGGATACTGCGATTGTCAGTGAAGCTGGGTGCAACAGTCAGAAGTTCCGTCAATGCTCTACACAGGAAACTGCAGTCCTGAAGTACATACATGCAAAGTACTGAACTGATGGGAGAGGGAGACCCGAGAGAGACAGCCCTGGGACTCTGTGCATGGTCTTTCACTGCCTTTGCAACTGCTTATCTAACTGGACAGAAAAGGGCAAGAATTTGTGCTTCTGAGATGCTCTGGTACCATCAGATGCCGAGGCAGGCTAGTGGTGTGGGGCTTTAGGGAGCCCGGGGGTTTCTGCAGTCCTAGTTTCATCCTCAGCTGTGCTCTAAACTGTAGAAAACAACTTTGAAGTTTTCACTATAATTTCAGTCCTGAAAATGTTAGTGTAAAGGGTGGTTCCTGTGTGCTTCAGCCCTTCATCCCTGTCCATTTGGCTGGCCCTGCAAAGGCCCTACCTAGGAGATGAGGCCTCTGTTCATCCCTCCCCACCACTCTCTGAGAAGGGGGAATTATGTGGAGGGAAATATTATCAAGGACCTCTCCAAGGTGCTATGGAGCAATGATGTCAGCTTAAAGACTGAGGTGCACCCACATTAAGCCATGGTCTTTTCAGTTACTTTTTATGCATCTGAGAGTTGGACAATGAATAAAAAATGACAAAACAAGAAGCATTGTCTTTGAATTGTGGTGTTGGATAAGAGTACTAAATATCCTATGGACTCATCATAGAATAAACAAATGTATCTTGGAGAAAATGCAAATAAGATGTTCTTTAGAGGCAAGGATGGTGGAATGCCGCCTCATACACTTTGGGTATGTTGTTAGGAAGGGCCAGTCTTTGGAAAATGATATGTGTGGAAAGATGAAAAGTAAGTGAAAGAGAGGAAACGTCTCAACAAGATGAACTGACACCGTGACTGAAACAGTAGGTTCCAGTATATCAGACATAATGAGGATAGCATAACATAGGGCAAGGTTCAGATCCACCACTGTTAGGGTCACTGTGAGTCAGAGTTGACTTGATGGCATCCAACAACAACAGTCTGAGCTACCATCATGAGTGGAACGTGAATATGGTTAACGTTCGTTATGTAAAGGGAATATGTTACCTGCTTTGTCATTTCTCTTTCTAATTGAAGTTTTATAGAACTTGGTTGAAACCTCTTGGCCCCCTTGCTGTTCTTTTTGTGGGGGGTTCAGTACTTTGAGTCTGCTGCTTGTCTATTATTTTTGGTCATTTTAATGGAACTGATCTGAGGGAAAGGAGGTACTGTTTAGGTCATTGTGAATTGGAATAAACTTATACTTTACAAAGCCTTCTCATGTGTCTAGCAGTTCATATTAGTGACCATTCTGGAGAGAGGCAGCACATTTAAATTATTACTATTGTTATTATTTAAATGTAACACTTCAGTTTGTCACAACCCTGAAATATCAGTGGGAGAACCTGCATCAAAACTAAGCTTTACACTTAGAACAATGGTAACTTGGACTTGTGATTTCCAGGAGAGTAAGAGAATAAATCTGTGATTCTTCCTATGAAGGGTCAGGTAGGAAATACTTTTGGCTTTACGAGCCATAACGTCTTAGTTGTGACTGCTTTGAAAGAGCAACCATTGGCAGTACATAAACACATGAAAAGGCTCTTCCAAAAAATCTGTTTACACATGGGCCATAGTTTGCTCACTCCCTGTGTTATACCAGAATTTATTTTTCTGCTCATTATTAATGGATCTTTAAGGTCTAAATACATTAATTTTGACTTCTGAGTGCTTCTATACCTTTCAGAATTGAAGCCCCTCTTAGATAAAGATTTTACAGACCCCCCATGTGATGATAAGTGTACTTTAGTACAAATTAGAAATTTAGATTAAAACTAATAATACACAGTGACAAAAAGCAACATATGTCAGAGCACATGTTTCAAAATGAGTAACATGCCACCATTCATGGTAGGTCTATTATGAAAAATAGTGGTTTATTGACGTGCTGTGTGTAACATGTAAACCTCTAACTCCTTTTAAAAAATCATATGGGGTGATTGTTGCCCTGCTTGCTTAGCTGTGTTCTTGCAAAATTATCTGAAAAGCTGGCAAGATCACTTGCCCAGCCAAACATGGAGCCGCAGCTTACAGAATTCTGTTCCCATCTCCATTGCTGTGGAGTTCATTCCACCCCATCATGGAAAACAAATGACCCCTTTTCAAGGTGATAGCCTTCGTGTAGGCAGACTGCTACATCTTTCAAACATGGAATGGATTTGAACCACTAACCTCCCAATGGGAGCTCTTGATTGCCTAGTGGTATGGAGCTGAGCTACCAACACAAAGGCACACAGTTCGAACCCACCAGCTGCTTCTCAAGAGAAAGATGGACAGTCTCCTGTGCAATTTACTGCCTCTGAAAACCCACTGAAGATCAGCTTTGAATTGGTTCTGACTGAATGTATCAAACAACAACAATAACAACTGCTCAGCAGCTGCACCACTGGGGCTCCTCTTTTAAGGACATTGTGCTTGGAAAGGTGGAGGGCCACCATAATAGAAGAAGTCCCAAAGCTAGATGGATTGACACGGTAACAGCAGCAATGGGCTTAAGTGCTCTGGAGACAGTGACAATGGCCCAGGATAGGACAGGGCTCAGATCTGCTCTTCATAAGTCACTATGACCCACAGTCAATTCCACGGGCACGCAACCACAACAACAATGATCTTATTGGCCAACTCTCACCCCTTCATTATTTTTCTGCTTCCTGCAGACCCCTCCTCATTCAGTATCTGATTACCAGTGTGTGGGTGGTAAACCTCCCATGCTGCCTTTGCCCCAGGCCACAGACGGAGAAGTCAGGATGATTCTAAGCATTCCTCTATAATTCAGGCTAAAAATAGAAGAGGCTGTGCTCAGACAGAGGGTTTAAGTGCTTCTGCTTGGGAGTGGAGACTGGAATGATGTTTTAGGAACCCTGAACTGGAATTCTGAGAAAATAGCTTTCTTACCAACACACTAAGGTGGAGGTACGATCTGCCAAGCAAGATCGAGTGAGCTCCTTGGTTGGTAAAGGCCACCACAGTTATTGGGCAGGAGGATTTGTCCCAAGGAATGATAACAAAATCCCCATTGATTTGTTGGCCAGCATTTTACTGTTGAGCCGTGTCAAGGGTGCTGGTTTTGGCTTACTTGGAAAAGAACTTTCTTTTACAGATGCAGAAAACGATGTGTCATCCAAGGGGAGCCAGGACATCAGGCAGGAAGAAATACATTTAATCACTTTTGCAGCTCTGCCAGTAAACCGCATGGAACAGCTGTCCAGTCTCTTCAGTGCCGTTCTTTCCAAAAAGAAAGGGACATTTCTTCCTCTGTCATCCTCTGTTTATAACCTTCCTGTGGATGTATTTTTTTGTTTTCATCTCCTTTAGTAACATTTACTCTTTGTTAAATTTACTAAGCAAAACTCAGTTGCCTTTGAGTCAACAAAAATCCTTGTGACCCCTGTGTGCAGGGTTTTCAGTGGCTTTGACCTGTTGGAAGCACATTGCCAAGCCTTTATTTCATGATCCTGTGGGTGGGTTTGAACTACCCATCTTGGTGTTAGCAGCTGATTGCTCAACTGTTTGCACTGTCCAGGAACTTCAGTTTCATCCTTGAATGGATAGTGAGTTACTAACAACAATACCACCACCACCACCACTTCATGAAATATGAATAGAATTTACTTAATAAAAAGTAAGTTAAGAATTTACTTAATAAAATGTAAGTTAGATGAGTCTTGGCCAAAAGCAGAGAGTTCCAGAGGAATATCTATCTGTGTGTGTTTCATTAACTATGGAAAGGCATTTGACCGTGTGGATCACAACATAATTTTCTAAGCATAAGAAGAATGAGAATCCCAGAACATTTGATTGTGCTCATGTGAAACCTATACTTGGACCAGGAAGCAGTTCTCAGAAGAGAGCAGGGAAACAAAATATGGTTCAGGATTAGGAATGGTATATGTCAGGGGTGCATCGTATACCTTTTCAATCTATATGCAGAACAGATCATTTGGGAGGCTGGACTTTATGAGGAGGAATGTAGCATCAGGTTTGGAGGAAGACTCATCAACCTATGTTATGCAGATGACACAACCTTGCTTGCTGAAATTGAGGAGGACATGAGGCATTTGCTGCAGAAGGTCAAGGACTGTAGTCTTCAATATGCTTGAAGCTCAACATCAAGAAAAAGATTCTCACTACTGGGCCAATTGACAGCATTGTGATAGAGAAGAGATTGAGATTGGAAACTTCAGCTTGCATGGTTCCATAGTCAACAATTTTGACATCAGCAGTGAGGCAGGAAATCAAAAGATGAATTGGCAAAGTCAGTTGTCAGTTACCTTTCTAAAGTATGGAAGAGCAATGCTGTCAGTCTGGATACTAAGATGCCCCTGATACAGGTCATGTTGTTGTTGATTGCCTTTGAGTTGAGCATGACTCATAGCGACCCTGTGAACAAAAGCCCTGAAGCCCCTCTGTAACTATTGACATTTATCAAAGTTCATAGGGTTTACGGAGGCATGCTATTTAGGAAGTGGATGCCACTCCTGCTTTATTTTCTTCACAGTTACTTGCTATGAACCAGAGACCTGAACAGTAACTAAGGATGATAGGAGAAAGATCGATGCCTTTCAAGTTGTGATGCTGGAGAAGAATGTTGAACTTACCATGGACTGCCAGGAGAACCAACAGGTCTGTCCTGGAGAGTGTGAAACCAAGCTGTTCTCTGGAGGCAAGGATTTTGAAG